ATCTTCACCCAAATCCTAAAAAAAAAAAAACTCTGAAAGAGAAAAATTTCCAACCAAGAATTATATACCCAGCAAAATTATCCCTCAAATATGATGGTGAAATTAGGATATTTCCAGATAAGCAGAAATTAAGGGAATTTGTTAAAACCAGACCAACCTTGCCAGAGATGCTAAAGGGAGCTCTTTAGACAGAAAAGCAACAACAGCCAACAACAACTGACCATTAACACGCATGATGATATAACCTAGAAACCAACCCAGCTATGGAAATATCCAAAGTAAATAAGCCTACAAGATTGTAAACAGGGAACCAGAGACATCAATTGACAAATGAGGACAACTACAAACCAAAAAGAGGGAAAAAACTGTTGTTACAGAACTTCTAGATGGTAGGGAAATCAAAACAACTACAAGATAGAATGGACTGTTCTAAACTGGGGAGGAAAACTATAAATCACAGGGTAACCTCAAAGAAAAATGATAAACCTTCACATCAAAAAAGAGGACCAGCATAAATATTCAGCAAATACTAAAATGATAGCAATGAAGGAAGTGATAATACAATTCATAAACAAAACAAGCTCAGCATAGAAAATTATATGGAACAAAGAAATCGACACCATTAAAAAGCACATAACAAAAATGACAGCAACAAATTAATATTTGCCAATAATTACATATTTGGCAAGGGACTTATCTCTAAGATTTATAGCAGAAGAGTGGATGACCAAACTATGGTACATACACATAATGGAATGCTCTGCAGCACTAAAGAATAACGTAGAGTCTGCAAAATATCATGTAATATGGATGAACCTGGAGGACATTGTGCTGAGTGAAATAAGTCAATCACAGAAGGACAAATATACTATTAGTTCATTGTTGTGGAGGGTCAAGGAAAGGTTTATATATGGAGGGAAACTCTTTGTTGGTGGGAGGGGACGGGAGGGAGCACTGCAAAAAAACCCAGCATTGACGCATGTCACTTTAGTTTTGTGTATTTCACTGTACATAAATTATATTTCAATAAAATGCATTTAAAAAAATAAGTAAAAATAATAATGAAAAAAAGAATAGATTGAACACAGCGACCAAAAACCAAATGAATTGTGGAATGACATCAAGAACATCATCCATGAAGAAAGCAAAAAGCATTAAAAAGTCAGGTAAGGAAGAAAAGTCAAAGATATATGACATCTATCTTCTGAAAGATAGATGTCAGAAGAGACTCTGAAACTTGCTCTTGAACGGAGAGTAGCTAAAGCAAATGAAAGTAATGACCAGACAAAACAGCTGAACAGAAGATTTCAAAGAGCAGCTTGAGAAACAGTCAATTATTATAATAAAATGTACCTGGAATTAGAAAACCAAAAGGGAAGAACACACTCAGCATTTCTCAAGCTGAAAGAAGTGAAGAAAAAATTCAGGCCTCAAGTTGTAATATTTAAAGATTCTATGGGCAAAATATTGAATGATGCAGGAAACATCAAAAGAAGATGGAAGGAATACACAGTCACTGTACCATAACGAATTGGTCGACACATCCATTTCGGGAGGTGGCATATGGTCAAGAATTGATGGTATTGAAGGAAGAAGTCAAAGCTGCGCTGAAGAAATTGGTAGATAAAAAGACTCCAGGAATTGACAGAATACCCATTGAGATGTTTCAACAGATGGATGCTGCGCTAGAGGCACTTACTCATCTATGCCAAGAAATTTGGAAGACAGCTACCTGACCGCCTGACTAGAAGAGATCCATATTTGTTCCCATTCCAAAGCAAAGTGATACAACAGAATGTGGAAATTATCAAACAATTTCATTAGTATCACACACAAGTAAATTCTTGCTGAAGATAATTGAAAAACGGTTGCAGCAGTTTATCGACAGAGAACTTCCAGAATTGCAAGCTGGATGCAGAAGAGGACGTGGAACAAGGGATATTGTTGCTGATGTCAGATGGATCTTAGCTGAAAGCAAAGAATACCAGAAAGATGTTTACTTGTGTTTTGTTAACTATGCAAAAGCATTTGACTGTGTGGATCATAACAAATTATAGATAACATTGAGAAGAAAGAGAATTCCAGAACACTTGATTGTACTCACAAGGAACCTATACATAGACCAGGAGGCTGTCATTAGAACAGAACAAGGGGATACTGCATGGTTTAAAATGAGGAAAGGAGTACATCAGGGTTGCATCTTTTCACCATACTGATTCACTCTGTATGCTGAGCAAATAATCTGAGAACCTGGGCTATATGAAGAAGAGTGTGGCATCAGGATTGGAGGAAGAGTCATTAACAACCTGCTGAATATGCAGACAATACAACCTTGCTTGCCGAAAGTTAGGATGACTTGAAGCACTTACTGATGAAGATTAAAAACTACAGCCTGTAGTATGGATTATACCTCAACATAAAGAAAACAAAAATCCTCACAACTGCACGCATAAGCAGATCACAACAAATGGAGAAAAGATTAAAGTTGTCAAAGATTTCATATTACTTGGTTCTACAGTCAACGCCAGTGGAGGCAGCAGTTAAGAAATCAGATGACATATTGCACTGGGCAAATCTGCAGAAGACCTCTTTAAAGTCCTGAAGAGCAAAGATGTCTCTTTGAAGACTAAGGTGTGCCTAACCCAAATCCATGGTGTTTTCAATCACCTAATATGCATGTCAAAGCTAGACAGTGAATAAGGACTACCAAAGAAGAGGTGATGCTTTTAAGTTGTGGTGTTGGTGAAGAATACTGAAAGTACCATGGGCTGGCAGAATAACTAATAAATCTGTCCTAGAAGAAGTACAGCTGGCATGCTCCTTGGAAGTGAGAATGGCCAAACTTTGTTTCACCCACTCTGGTCATGTAGTCAGAAGGGACCATTTCCTGGAGAAGGATATCATGCTTGGTAAAGTGAAGGGTCAGTGAAAAAGGGGAAGGCCCTCAACGAGATGGTTTGACCCAGTGCCTGCAACGGTGGGCTCAGGTATAGCAAGGATTGTGTTGCTGGTGCAGGACCGGGCAGTGTTCTGTTCTGTTGTATGCAGGGTTGCTTGCTATGAGTCGGAGCGGACTTGACAGCACCTGACAATAACGGATTCCTCGTTAGAACTCAGTTCCTCATGCAAGATAAAGATAGCCTCGTGTTTCCTTCCTTTAGTCTCACCTCATTAAGTTGTAATGTTCAAAAAAATCCACATTTTGATTTCTTTTCCTTCCCTTTTTGTGTCTTTTTTTTTTTTTTTTTTTCCTGATTTCCTTCCCTTTCAGGCTGGGATAGAAAATCGTCAGCTGGACACAGTAGATTTCTTTTTAAAGAGCAAAGAAAATCTTCTGAATCCATCCTCACATTCTTCTATGCTTGATCAGTTTGATTGCTTGTCATCTGATATATATTTAAGAAGTAAGTAGAATAAATACCTCTACTTTTGTATTTATTTTATCTTTTTAATCATGTTCAAATTTTTGTGTTTTCTGATGACTTATTTACTTGCCAAAACTTAGTCATGCGATTTTATACAGTTTGTGGAAACTTGAGAAAGTTCTAAGAATTTATAAATGTTCTCATTCTAAGTAGGGTGTTTATTGCTCATATCCTGAGCAATAAATACTTTGTTTTTAATAATGTACTTTGCATTTTTAGTATGCAAGGAAAAGATGATTTTTCAAAGTGGCAAGAGAATAAAATTAATTGGGAGTATTGACATCCTTTTAACTATCTGATATGTATATTGACAGTGTGGCTGGCTGAGCTGCAAATTGGGACTTGTTAAAAGAATTTTTAGCATGATGCTTCTGTTTTTTGCTGCATTACCAAAAATTTATTTCAAAGTGTTGGCTTTCCTTTTTAATAAAAGGAAGCTTAGCTTTTATTCCTAACCCAAGTAGCCAGGCAAATCCTATCCTTGGAGACGTAGGGCAATAATGTATGTTTTCCCTTTGTACATACAATTTTATAATCTGCTTTTCTCACTTGATGATATATTTATCTTTCTTGCTACTGGTTTATATATGGATGCATCTGAGACTGCATAAAATTCCATTGCATCATAAATTTACCTAACCAAACTCCTATTAGACTTTTAGATTGCTTCCAGTTTTTACTATTACTACCACTGCTATTAATTAATTAATACTGTTAATGCTGTATGTGTGTGTTATTTCTCATGTGTACATTTATTTACTTGGAATATATTTCTAGATGTGGAATTTCCAAGCCAAAGAGTATACACAGTTTGTATTCTTTAATACTTTGGCAGATATTCCCCCAGAAAAGTTCTACCAATTTGTACTCTACTTATGTGGAGAAAAGGACAACCTGTTCCTTTTCCTTTGATGTTATATCCTCTTAGTTCTCATTGAGAACATGGAACATGAAAGTTTTCTTCTTTTAAGAAACTAATCTCTTGATTTGAGTGACTAGTTTGAATTTGGTGCCTCTCTTTTGGATTACCAGTATTTTTATGCCCATATTTTGTTGTTAATGTGCATGAATTTATACAAAAAGGTTGGGTTTGTGGTGTTGGGAAGGGCTCCATCAGTGGTTGTATGATCATTATTCACAGCTGCTGTTTGGTGGTCAGTGGCTTCTTTACACTCAACTTTTGCCTACACTGCTGTACTTTAAAGGGTAAGTTAGGGATGGAAAGAAGCATGAGAATAGGTAACTTTCTACTTTCCCAGTGGAGAGACAGTTTCCCATCATTCTTCCTCACACAGACCCAGTTTTTAGAGTAAGGCCAATGCTGAAATTCAGGAGGCCACATTCCTTACTTTCACCTGCATGTTTGAAAGGATAGCTCTGGAATCAGACAGAATTAAGTTTAAATTTTGCTCTGCTACTTACTTTGCAATTTAGCTTGAGCCAGTTACTTACCCTTCTGAACTTTAGTTTCCTCTTCTATGAAAAAGATATGACACATAACCTCCTGGGCTGTTGAAAGGAATAAATGAGATAACATTTATAAACACTAAGTACTACAATATGTAAGATGTAGTACATGGTCAGCAAAATGGAAGTTAATAGTAATATTAGTAAATAAGTAGTACTAAGTAGAACTGCTATGAAGTTGGCAGGTGTAAGAGTCATAAAAGTTGTGTGAACTTTTTGAAAATCAGCCATTGGTTCTTTTATATTTTTAAATATTGCAACATAGTTTTGTTTTGTTTTGATATGTTACTTCTGTTAGGAGTAACCTGGTATTCTTCATGTTAATTTTTTTTTTTCCAATTCTTTTTCAGATGTGAAAGAACTAACACCAGCATTGGATTTACTTTGCTCAGCAATTAGAGAAAGTGATTCTGAGACCCAGAGCAAACACTTTTCAGAACAATTACTTAACCTTACATTGTCTTTCCTTAACAAACAAGTGAAAGAACTTTTTGTTCACACTGAAGGTAAGAATAGCAGGAAGAAAGGGGGGAGACTCTACTATTCCTGCATCAGGACAGAGATGTTAATGGTCCTATTTTATGAGAGAGTATAAACCAGTAGAGTGCCATTTGCTAAAGTTGGGCAAAAGCCATTGTACTGTTGAATAAGTAAAACTGGTTCTGATACTGGGAAAGTAGGCAGAAGGACCCAGGACTAATCATAGCAAAAAAAGTCAAATAAGTCTCTTAAAAGACAAAGATTCTTGTAAACAGAAAAAAGGTCAAACACTCATTTTCTGAAATTTGAAATTACAGAATTTAAATTCAGACTTTTTCAAGAATTCTTTATAATAGGTTATGGTATTTCTTTCTCCATCTTTCCCTGTGTCTGTCTTTTTCTCTATATATATGAAATTGGCCCATTGATGTTTTCCACAGAGCTAGACGAATATCTACAGGAAGGAATAAACATTTTGACCAGCTACATTAATGAGCTTCGAACCTTCATGATAAAATTTCCTTGGAAACAAATAGATATTTTGGATGAATATCATATAAATGAAAATGTCCCTGAAGTAAAGGAAAGTGATATGTGGGAGAAACTCAGCTTTGAGGTAAATATGAGTAATTATTCCTTTTTTTGTTTGCCATATGCAGAGGAGTTGAGAAAACAAATAGAAGAAACAGAATTTTTAAAAATCTATACACTTGTAATCTTTGGGAAGGGTTATACAGGTTTTGGCATCTCTGGATACAACTTCAAATTTATGTCTACAAGCTCTGTTTATTTAATTCAGAATACAAATAGGTTCCCTTTAAATGCCAGATCTGCCCACCTTGAATCTGTTGTCAAAAACGCAACCACAAACCCATATGGAATGGTGTTTCCTTGGTGATACTCCCTCACTGGCTAGAGCCTGACACTTCAGACTCATGCATTCTGCCTGACCTCTACATAGATAGAATTGCTGCCAGTGATCAAATTTTAGGAAACTTTTTGATCTCATGAAAATTATTACTTGAAAGTATGCTTGATTTGAGTCCTATTTCATATGCTAGTTAAGACATCTTGCCAGTTTTATCAGCTTAATACTTGGGAGCAGCTCTATATTAAGGTCAGGGCTGAGGTAGACAGGACTGGGGGTTGGGGACTGTTTTTCACTTGGGGGCAGCTCTGTGCTAATAAGGTAAGTGGGAGCAGAGTAGTTAGGAACAACTAAGGGAGAGATGAACTTGTCTGTCAGTTTGTCATCCTGTGGTGGCTTATGTGTTGCTGTGAGGCTGGAGGCTATGCCACAGTGTTGCAAAATGCCAGCAGGGTTACCCATGGTGGACAGGTTTCAGCAGAGCTTCCAGGCTAAGACAGACTTGGAAGAAGGAAGAGTCCATCCACTTCTCAAACAATTACACAGTGAAAACCTTATGAATAGCAGTGAAACACTGTCTGATACATAACTGGAAAACTTTATGAATAGCCTAGAACCATTGTCCGATACAGTGCCAGAAGATGAGTCCCTCAGGTCGGAAGGCACTCAGAATTTGACTGGGGCAGACCTGACTCCTCAGAGTAGAGACAGTCTTCACGATATGGATAGAGTAAAACTTTCAGGACCTCCATTGGTTGATGTGGCATGATTCAGAATGAGTAGAAACAGATGTAAACATCCATTAATAATTGGAACATGGAGTGTATAAGGTATGACTCTAGGAAAATTGGAAGTTGTCAAAAATGAAATGGAATGCATAAAGATCAATATCCTAGGCATTACTGAGCTGAAATGGACTGGTTTTGGCCATTTTGAATCAGACAACCATATATATGATCTACAGTGCTGAGATTGACAAATTGAAGAGGAATGGTATGGCATTCATCGTCACAAAGACTGTTTCAAGATCATCCTGAAGTACAGTGCTGTCAGTGATAGGATAATATCCATACGCTGTGAGGAAGACCAGTTAATACTACTATTACTCAAATCTGTGCACCAACCACCAAAGCCAAATATGAGGAAATGGAAGATTTCTACTAATTTCTGCAGTCTGAAATTGACCAAACGTGCAATCAAGATGTGTTGATTATCACTGGTGACTTGAATGCAAAAGTTGAAAACAAAGAAGAGTTACCAGTAATTGGAAAATATGGCCCTAGTGATAGAAATGACAATGGAGATTGCATGATAGGATTTTGCAAGACCGATGACTTATTCATTGCAATTACCTCTTTCAACAACATAAGTGATGGCTAGACACATGGATTTCACCAGATAGAATACAGGAATCAGATTGACCACATCTATGGTAAAAGGCAATGGAGAAGTTCAATAACTTTGGCCAAAACAAGTCCAGGAGCTAATTGTGAACAGACCATCAACTACTCATATGCATGTTGAACTTGAAGACAATTAAAACAAGTCCATGAGAGCCAAAATATGACCTTGATAATAATCCCTCCTGAATTTAGAGACTATCTAAAGAATAGATTTGATGCATTGAACACCAGTGACCCAAAACCAGAGGAATTGTGGGATTACATCAAGAATATCATCCACGAAGAAAGCAAAAGGTCATTAAAAAGATAGGGTAGGAAGAAAAGACCAAAATGGATGTCAGAAGAGACTCTGAAATTTGCCCCTGTGTGGAGAGGAGCTAAAGCAAATGGAAGAAATGATAAGATAAAAGAGCTGAACAGAAGATTTCAAAGAGCAGCTTGAGAAGACAGAGCCAATTACTATAATGAAATGTGCAAAGGCCTGGAGTTAGAAAACCAAAAGGGAAGGACACACTTGGCATTTCTCAAGCTGAAAGAACAGAGGAAAAAACTTAAGCCTTGAGTTGCAATACTGAAAGATTCAATGGGCAAAATATTGAATGACGCAGGAAACATCAAAAGAAGATGGAAGGAATACACAGAGTTACTGTACCAAAAAGAATTGGTCGATGTTCATCCATTTCAGGAGGTGGCATATGATCAAGAACCAGTGGTATTGAAGTAGTAAGTCAAAGCTGCACTGAAGGAATTGGCAAAGAACAAGAGTCCAGGAATTGACGGAATACCCATTGAGGTGTTTCAACAAATGGGTGCCCTGCTGGAGGCATGCACTTGGCAATGCCAAGAAATTTGGAACACTGCTACCTGGCCAAATGACTGGAAGAGATCCATATTTGTATCCATTCCAAAGAAAGGTATGGCAGCTACGTTTGTGTGTCAACTTGGCTGGGCCTGGTTGAGTGGCTGGGCAGCTGGTGGTAGTTATTCCCCATGATGAGACTGGCAATCAACTCCATGGTGGGATCTACCACAAGCAGCTGAGTAGCTGCATTTGGGATGTGGTCTGCTTCCTGTATATAAGGAGAACCTTTGAGAATGGTCTCTAGTCTATGGCACACTTGAACCCTGCATATAGCTGTGTCGTTGTTCAGCAGCCTGCCATGCTCTGCTGACCTGGAGACTTAGAATGGACTTGAATTAATAGCCTGCTGTGTGGTTTGGTAACATCGGGACTGTGCCTTTTTACTTGTCAACCTTGGGGCTTCTCAGCCTCAGCAGCCAGCAGCTGTCTTGAGTGAAGAAATGCCTCTAGCTCCAGTGGGCTGGGAGCTGGAGGCAGAGCTGGACCCCAAGGTTGAGGGGCTTTCACGCAGCCTGTAGAGCCTGGCACTTTGAACTTGGACTTAAAGCCTCCAAATTGTAAAAATAAACTCCTGTTTGTTAAGGCCATCCCATTTGTGGTATATTCTTGTCAGAGCGGCACTAGGTAACCAGAACAAAAGGTGATCCCACAGAATGTGGAAATTATCCAACGGTATCATTAATATTACACACAAGTAAGATCTTGCTGAAGATAATTCAAAAACAGTTTCAGCAGTATATTGACAGAGAGCTTCCAGAAATGCAAGCTGGATTCAGAAGAAGATGTGGAATGAGGTATATCATTGCTGATGTCACATGTATTTAGCTGAAAGCAAAGAATACCAGAAGGATGTTTACTTATGTTTTATTTACTATACAAAAGCATTTGATTATGTGGATCATAACAAATTGTACGTAACATTGAGAAGAATGGGAATTCCAGAACACTTGATAGTACTCATGAGGAACCTATACATAGATCAAGAGGCTGTTGTTCGGACACAACAAGGGGATACTCCATGGTTCAAAATTAAGAGAGTGCATCAAGGTTGTATCCTTTCACTGTACTTATTCAGCTTGTATGCTGAGCAAATAATCCAAGAAGCTGGATTATATAAAGAAGAACGTGGCATCAGGATTGGAGGAAGACTCATTAACAACCTGTGATATGCAGATGATACAACTTTGCTTGCCGAAAGTGGGGATGACTTGAAGCACATACTGATGAAGATTAAAGCCTACAGTCTGCAGTATGGATTACACCTCAACATAAAGAAAACAAAAATCCTCACAGCTGGTCCAAGAAATAGCTTAATAATAAATAGAGAAAAGATTGACGTTATCAAGGACTTCATATTACTTGGTTCTACAGTCAATACCAATGGAAGCCGCAGTCAAGACATCAGACAACATATTGCATTGGGCACATCTGCTGCAAAAGACCTCTTTCAGGTGCTGAAGAGCAAAGATATCTCCTTGAGTACTAAGGTGTGCCTAACCCAAGCCATGGTATTTTCACTCGCCTCTTATGCATGTGAGAGCTGGACAGTGAATAAGCAAAACTGAAGAAGAGTTGATGCTTTTGAGTTGTAGTGTTGGAGAAGAATGCTGTTCTGATTACTTAGTGCTGCTCTGACAAGAATATACCACACATGGGATGGCTTTAACAAACAGGAGTTTATTCTTACAATTTGCAGGCTTTAAGTCCAAGTTCAAAGTGCCAGACTCTAGGGGCTGTGTAAAAGCCCCTCGACCTTGGGCTTCAGCTCTGCCTCTTGCTCCCAGCCCACTGAAGCTAGAGGCATTTGTTCACTCAGGCAGCTACTGGCTGCTGAGGCTAACAAGCCAAGGTCGACAAATAAAATGGCACAGTCCCGATGTTACTAAACCACATGGCAGGCCATCAACTTAAGTCCATTGTAAATCCCAAGGTCAGCAGAGCATAGCAGGCTACTGAACAATGACACGGCTACATACAGGGTCCAAGTGTGCCGTAGGCTAGAGACCATTCCCAAGGCTTCTCCTTACATACAGGAAGCAGACCACATTCCAAAGGCAGCTACTTAGCTGCTGGTAGATCCCACCATGGAGTTGATTGCCAGTCTCATCATGGGGAATAGCTACTACCAGCTTCCCAGCCACTCAACCAGGCCCAGCCAAGGTGACACACAAACATAACTACCATAAATGCTAAGATTACCATGGTCTGCTAAAAGGACTAACAAATCTGTCTTGGAAGAAGTGTAGCCAGAATGCTCCTTGGAAGTGAGAATGGCCAGACTTTGTCTCACCTACTTTGGTCATGTTATTGGAAGGAACCATTCCCTGGAGAATGATATCATGCTTGGTAAAGCAGAGGGTCAGTGAAGGAGAAGGTCCTCTACAAGATGGATGGACGCAGCGGCTGCAACGATGGGCTCAGGTATAGCCAGGATCGTGAGGCTGTCACAGGATCGGGCAGTGTTTAGTTCTGCTGTGCATAGGGTTGCTATGAGTCAGAGACGACTTGATGGCACCTAACAACAACTATGACTAGAGACTGGAAGAATATCTCCACCCACATGGAGAGTATTGACATTTGAAAGACAGAGGCCAGAATAGTTTAACCCAGATGATCAGAAAAGTACCCTTGCTTTTCTTTCCAGTCTTTTCTTCTGCTATCCTCTCTAGCTTTTTCTCCAGTTATGCTGGGAAACTTTGAGTTCTCTGAAGGCTTGATACTATTTCTGACCTTTGTCCTTGTGCATATAATATTCCCTCTTTTTGGAATACCAGTGCTCGCTCTCTCTTCTCTCTCTTCCTCTCCCCTTGTACCCTTCTCCCTGGTACCCTGGGAGCAGGTTTATTATAGCACATATCATCCAGTACTATAATATGTGCTTGTGTGCCTTTCCCTAGACTGTGAGCTCCTGGAGAGGAAGGTCTGTGTTTTAGTCAACTTCATATCTCCTGCAACTAGTCTAAAATCTAGTAGTGGATTTAACAGAATGAAATATTGCCCAGTCATGTACCATCTTTGTGATCAAGTGAATAGGTACCATGGTAATAATCATACTAAGGAAATAAAAAGAAACTTAAGAAAAGGGCAAACGTTTTTCTTCCTTTTTTCTAGGATGTTATTGCCAGTGCCATTTTAAACAACAAAATACCAGAGGCACAAACCTTCCTCAGGATTAATAATCATCCTGCTCAAAGACTCGAGGAGCTGATTAAAATAGGACTAGATTTGGTCTTTGACAATTTAAAAAAGAACAACATAGAGGAATCCTCTGAGCTTTTAAAGAATATGGTGAGTAGCATAATCCATTTCACTAATATTAAAGTCCCTAATGTAAGAAAAGCTATTTGTATTTAATACAATTTCTAGTTAATATAAAATTTGATTTGTATTCTTAATTCTGTCATAGACTAAGTAATTTGTGTAGCCTTTACTAGGAAATAAGAATGCTAATAATACAGGGAAACAGTCTTTGGTACAGAAAACTTTCTTAAAGTAAATACGAAATGGAGTTCCCTTCATCTGCTCTGTTAGCTTTGGCGCTTTGGTTAGGAAGAAACAGTGTTTCTCAGAGCAGACTTCCCATGTGTCAAAGCATGCACCAGACCCACTGCCATTGAGTCGGTTCTGACTCAGCATCCCTGTAGGACAGAATGGAACTGCTCCATAGAGTTTCCAAGGTTGTAAATCTTTATGGAAGCGGACTGTCTCATGTTTCTCCCAGTAGGTTCAAACTGCCAGCCTTTGGTTAGCAGCCAAATTCTTTAATCGGTGTACCACCAGAGCTCCTTAAAACATGCACAGGACCTCATTATTTGTTGAGGGACATCTGTATTGTTCACATGACCCCTTACATCTCTTCTTGATCTTTCTAGTGTGTTGTGTCTTTACTGAGGCTTCATGCTCCATGGTTTGAATTCATTTGAGAAGAGGCAGTCCTAGAAGTAGGGCTTTTGGACTAAGCTGAGATCTGGCCCAAATCTGCACAATTGGGGTCTTGCCAGTGGTAACTTCCTGTAAGTGCGAAGGAGTGGAACTACTTAAGGGGTTGTTATTTGTATTGACCTTTGTTTCCAAGTGAATGGTCATAATAGATTCCAATAGTTTTGGTCCTGTGGCAGCTTGAAATTTACCTTATTATTGTTTTGTGTGCTGCACTTGCTCTTTGGCAAAATGCTTAAGGACTTTAGAGATAGGCAGCAAGTACATATAAATGTAGGAAAAGGAATGTCTGCAAGTGCAGAAAAGGTGTGGAACTCTAACAGGATGCATATCTTTCTATACTAGAGTACTTTTATATCAAACATATGTATATGTGTGTGGGTGTGGGTGTACCTATATGTTCAAAACCAGAGCTCTGGCAGCACAGTGCCTAAGGCATCTGACTGCTTACCAGAAGATTGGCGGTTCAAACCCACCAGCCATTCCGTAGAAGCAAGACTGGGCAATCTACTTCCGTAGAGATTTACTGCCTTGGAAACCCAAGAGGGGGTCTCTATGAGTTGGGATCATCTCGATGGCAGTGGGTTTTATATGTTCAGAAAGTTCTGTTCCAAAATGTAAGATTTTTTTTCCCTATGTGTTTTTATAGGGTTTTGATGTAAAAGATCAACTGCTCAAGATATGCTTCTATACAACTGATAAAAATATACGGGACTATTTGGTAGGTAATGGTGAGACTATATAGTTTATCTTTTATAGAAAAGCTTGATGACATGTCAAGCTAAATAATTTTAATATTTAACAAGTATTTAAAAGTGCTTTTTTAATGGTTATTTTACATTTGTGGTAAGGTGAAATTTGTATGTATATGCATTAGCTCAAAAATTCAAAATACAATTCCTTTTTCTACTTACTTTTTTAAAATTATAGTTTGAGTGAAAGTTTACAGAGCAAATTAATTTTTGACCCAGCAGTTTACACACGTTTTGCTTGGTGACGTTAGTTGCAGTCCCCTCAATGTAATAGCACTCTTCCCATTTCCTCCTAGGGTTCCCTGTTTCCATTCGTCCATCTTTCCTGCCCCTTCCTGCCTTCTGAGCTTTGTTTTTAGGGCCCTTTTGGTTTCATGTGGTTGATTGTGCTGAGGAGTACATTCCTTCCTGGTGTAATGGCCTGTCTCTTGTTTCCCTGAAAGTTGATCCTCGGCTATGGGTTCAGTTCCAGGCTTGAAGGGTGTCTAAGGGACAGTCTCTTGGGGATTCCACTAGTCTCTATCAGACCAGTAAGTCTGGCCTTTTTATGTTTTTGAATTTCTTTCTACATCTTTTTTTCTCCTTCTCTGTTTGGGACTTTCTATTTTGATTCTGATTAGAATGATCAGTAGTCGTAGCTGGGCATCATCTAGTTTTTCTCCAGGTATTGGAGGCTGTGGTTCATGTAGCCCAAGTCCTTTGGACTAAGTGTTTCATTGATTCTTTGATTTTCTTCACTCTTCTTCACTCCCAATGAGGAAGACCAGTAGTTGCATCTTAAATGGCCATTAACAAGCTTTTAAGACCTCAGTCGCTACTCATCAAAGTAGAACATTGTCTTTGTGGGCTGTGTTATGTCAGTTGACATAAGTGTCTCTTGAGACTGTGGTCCTAAATTCCCAAACCCAGTGATTCATTCCCTCAAGCTGTTTAGTTATGGCTAAGAAGTTTTCAGAACTTTGTCCCCTGTATGGTCTACTATATCCTTAGATACGTTTACAGCACATGCAAATACATGTGTGGAAATACAGAAATAGCATCTGCCAAACCTGTTCAGTTTAAATGTCTGCCTGTGTGCCTGCTTGTAGATGATGTTTGTTGTTATTGTTTTGTAGGATTGTGTATATAATAGTATCAAAATATAATTCTTATATGGTATTTAATATGAAGAGATTTGTTTTACATATGTGCTTGATTTTTATGAGGTCAGTAATTTTATTTATTTTTTATTCTAGGTTGAAATTTTAAAAGAAAAAGATTATTTTTCTGAAAGTGAAAAAAGAATGATAGATTTTGTGCATCAGGTTGAGAAGTTTTATTTGGAACAGTCCCAAGAAAATGTGCAGATCCAGTCCTTTCCCAGGTAGTCCCATTAGCCTTTTTTGATAATATGACAAGAATATTCTAGATAGTGTTTAGTTTGTAATTGTTAGTGATCATGGATTTCTTATGTGGAATTGAACTTATGTTCTCTGTGAAGATAAAACTTGTATCTAAATATGGATTACACAGAAAGGACTTAGAAATTTCCTATTGTTTCAATATTTTCATAATTAGATATATACTTTTAAGATATTAAATGCAAAATTAAAAGTATTGAATTATGTGCCCCACAAAAGAGTAGAAGTTCTTAAGCAGATAAAAAGGAAAGATGCTTTTCCCCAAAACTTAAAAAAAAAATCTTATCACTGTTTTAGGTATTGGATAAAGGAACAAGATTTTTCCAAGCATAAATCTGTTTTGGACTCAGTCCTGAAATATCATAAAGATGAGTTTAACAAACCAGACTACAGAATTGTGTTAAATTGGGCTCAGTGGTGGGACCAACACACACAAGAATCCATCCTCCTTCCCAGGATAAGTATAGAAGGCAAGTGTGAGAGAACCTGAAATTTGAGCATATTGATTGTGGATTAAATGAAGTGTTGATATTTGAATGTTTTGGTGCGTCTCCATTTTAGAATTCCTTTTTTTGGGGGGAGGGGCATGTTCAGTTACTTTTAAAATGCAAGTCCTTACACTAAGACCTCTTTCCTATCTCAAGGTTTTGGTGAAGAATTTATAATATGATAGTGAAATACCAAAGGCAAACAGTGAATTGAAATTTCAAGGCTAAGAGTTTTCATCCCAGCTTTAAAGCGACATTCTTTGTTTTTCCAAACAGTCTTCGGTTTCTTATTGTGTAGACTGGGGTCTGTATTACATCAGGGCTCTGGGGAATAACAGCAGTAAATCCCACATTCGTGGAAAGTTAGACTCAACTTTACTGTTAAATCCAAAGGTTTTTTGATTTCTATTAAGGGAAAAAGAGGACTGAAAAAATAAATGAAACATAAAGCTAATTCCCAGTTTTCATTTTGTCCATTGTAGTAATAAGAAGCAACATTTAGCTCTTCCTCTGGCTAATTTCTGTATAATGAATAAGGCAAAGGAGGAAAATGGTCAAAGAAGCAGAGGGTCTGAATAATCCATATATATTATAAATAATTATGTCTGAATTGTTATATTTACTCAGTAGTTAATTCAGTATTGAGTTACGTGTCAATAATTATAATTTATTGCTATTTTAAAGTGTGCTTTGTTCTTCATGTAGACTACAAATCTTACTCTCCCAAAGCCCTCTGGAGATACCTCACAGCTCGCCATGATTGGTTAAACATTAACTTGTGGATCACAGAATTTCAGACCCAGAATGGTTGTACTTCAGTTCAGCAGAACAGATGGCCCCCTCTCACTGTTGATGTTATTGATCAGAATACTTGCTGCAGCATCTACATGAGGAATGAAATTTTAGATAAGCTGGCCAGGTAATGTAAACTAATGATTATGTTAAACTAATCTCCAATGAGCAGAATAAAAGGAAGACCGATAAAAAATAGTGATGTAATTTTTCCTTTGAAATGACATAAATTCAGTGAATATTGTTTTATATAATTTTAAATTAAAGAACACTATTATAGAGTGATGGAACTCTGGTGGTGGAGTGCTTAAACTCTGGCTGCTGAGTTTGAACTCAGTCGCTCTGTGGGAGAAAGATGAGGCAGTCGGCTTCTGTAAAGATTTACAGCCTTGGAAACCCTATGGGACAGTTCTACTCTGCCCTATACGGTCACTGAGTCAGAATTGACTTGATGGCAGTGGGTTTGGTTTTTGGATTTATCATAGACTGAGGTGTTAAAATCATATGCATTAAACATCATGTGGTTGTGAATAGATTCTCAAATTATATATGTAGGTTCTTCCCAAAACATTGTATGTGCTCTGCTGTGAAATGTTAGGCTGTCAATAAGGCTACAAGGAACCAGCAGCAAGAGCTGAGATGAGGATACCCTAGTATCCTGTAGTCATCTCCCTCTCCTCAGTATCATCATTGTACCCATATGCTTGTAGCTTTGAAATTTGAACCTGTAACCAGTTGCCATCAAGTTGATTCCAATTCATGATGATCTCATGTGCATCAGAGTAGAATTATACTCCATAGGGTTTTCAGTGGCTGTTTTATCAAAAGTAGATCACCAGACCTTTCTTTCAAGGTGGCCCTGTGTGGACTTGAACCTCCAACCTTTCAGTTAGCATCCAGACATGTTAACTGTTTGTACCACCCAGGGACTCCTTGAAAAAAAGAGGACTGCTAAATTAAGAAATAGGAATAGTAGCTCTTGAAGTGGTGAGTTGAGATTTTTTATTATGTTTTCTTTCTTTATTTTGCAGGATCAGGGGTGTCGGGTAGGGGAAGGTGCTCTTTCATTTATCTCTTCATTGAATAAGGGATGATTTTAAACTTTTAATTCATTTCTGTTAGGTTGAACTACATGAAATTATTATTTGTTCAGGTCAAAATGTTTGAATATCAGCAATTTCATACAAGTCAACTTAATATATCTTCCTCAGCTATTAAAAGGAGTCCCTGGGTAGTGCAGACAATTGAAGCACTCAGCTGGCTAACCTAGAGGTTGGAGGTTTGAGTCCACCCAGAGGCCTTGAGAGAGAAGAACTTGCCTACCAGATGTTGTTGTTGTTGTTGTTGTTATGTGCCGTCGAGTCGGCCCCGACTCATAGCGACCCCTCCTTGGGTTTCCGAGGCAGTATCACTACGGAAGTAGGATTGCCCAACCTTCCTTCCGAGGAGTGGCTGGTGGGTTTGAACCGCCAGCCTTCTGGTTAGCAGTCAAGTGCTTTAGCCACTGTGCTACCAGAGCTCCTAGCTTATTCTAAAGCTATACTAATTAAGACAGCAGGGGTATTGGAGATATTGGTATAGGGATAGACAAAGCAGAAGAGAAGAATGAGCATGGTAACAGACTCATACATGTGTGTTCACTTTTTATATGACAAAGGTGGCCCTGAAGAAGAGTGGGAAAAGAATGGTCTTTACAATAAATGAAGATTGGATAATTGAATAGATATGGGGGCAGGAAAGGAAATTGAACTTCCTACCTTACATCACACATAAAATTAATGCAGGTATATTTGAAAACCTAAATGTGGACTATAAAAGCTTTTGGAAGATTATAGGAGAATATCCTTGTGACCTTGGGAGTAGGACATACTTTCTTAAATAGGCCTGAAGGGTCAGGAGGAAGAAACATTAACAGGGACCACGAGAGATTTAGGACTCTAAGTGGAGGGTATCAAACAACCTCAAATAACCCAGCACAGAGAGAGCCAGGGGGTAAGCATCCCATCCTCCCTTTTTTCTGATACCAAAACAGGAACCTGAGGACATTGGAGTTTCCTGGTGCAGCCCATACAGGTGAACCTCCAGGAATGAGCCAGGTGGTGAAGAATAGAACTTGGATCTAGAAGGCCAAGATATCTAACACAAATAAGCATTTCATAAAAGAGGAGATACAAATAGCCAATAAGCATATGAAAAAATGTTCTTCATTAATAATAATAGAAATGCAAATTTATTTTACTGAAACTCTGGGAACAACCAAAAGTAGAGTGATAAATAAAATGTAGTTATCATACAATAGATTACTGAATAACAGTGAAAATGAACAACCTGTAGCCACAGGTGTCAACATGGATACATTACACAGTGTTGAGCAGATGAAACAAGGCAAAGAATACATCCAGAATATTCCATTTATATATAAAGTTCAAAATAGGCAAAAGCATACCATATGTTGTTTGTGGTTATATACATGAGAAATAAAACTGAATAAAAGTAAGGGGATGATTATCACAAAAGTCAACTATCTCCAGGGGAAGCAAAGGACGTGCAGTGGGGGAGGGATATGCCCAGAAAACTAAACCCATTGTTATCAAATTGATTTACACATATAGGGACCCTATAGAACAGAGTAGAACTGGCCCACAGAGAGTACAGCTGGCCCACAGGTTTCCAAAGCTGTAAATCTTTAGAGAAACATATTGCCATGTCCTCCTGCAGAGCAGCTGGTGGGTCAAAAACCACCATCCTTTTGGTTGGCAAGTGAGAGCTTTAACCACTGTGCCATTGGGCTCCTCAAAGGGTACACAAAGGAGGTAATACTCTATTTTTTAATCTGGGTGGCAGTTTCATGGTGTTTCTTTATACTCTACATATATTTTTTTGTACTCTTTTGTATAGTCTGCATGATTTATTTAACAGTAAAACAATTTGTAAAACAATATCTAAATGTAAATTTCTGTTCATTTTTATTAGTTGCTTTATTTAAATTACTATGCTTTCATTTTTGATGGTTTTGTTTGGATATTTCAGTGAATTTCTCAGTGCTGAGAACATCTATCTTCAAGAGCTAACTACTGTTGCCATACTGAGTTGTACAGTTCCATTCAAAAAAACAAATATAGATTACTTAGTTTAGGGTCTTGAAATATTGAAGACCACTTAAGACTCTCATTACTACTTTTAAATACACCAAGAGTTCAGAAACCTTTATTGGAAACTAGCAAACTACGTATTTCAGAGCATACCTATAGAGTGAAAATGGGAAGTCTTAATTTGTAAATATAGTTGACCCTTGAACTACACAGGGGTCATTTGTTGTAAACTGACCCCTAGTTTAGTTGAAAATCCGTGTATAACTTTCGACTTCCTAAACACTTAAATACTAATAGCCTGCTATTGACCAGAAGCCTTGCCAATGACAACAGTCTTGATCGTAAACCTGATGCATTTGCACAAAACAGTAGAGTTAGCCTGTTCCTACGTGCCTTAAATCTTAGTGCTTGCTTCTCTTCCGTGCTAATAAATGTTCTTCGTGGAATTTTTTTTCCTCACCAAAATAGGGCATTTTTGTCTGCATTAAAAACCTGTTCAGATTGTGAAAATGTCAGTTTTACCCAAAGCAATCTATACATTCAATGCAATCCCAATCCAGATCCCATCAACATTCTTTAGGGATATGGAAAAAATGATCACTAACTTTATATGGA